ATGAATGCTAATGAGCGGACATATATAGCAACTAGTAATTAAGTAGTTTTTTGTGTTTTTTTTTTTTATCTACTTTAATTGGTAGTTAATTTATGCACCTGATTTTTCAGGTGCTTGTGTATATATTCATTAAAAATGACCTCCAAGAAAAGCAGGAACACTGAAAAATAAGACAGAATGACAGGTTAGCTGCTACTAAGTGTTCTTCTTCCCTACATCTGTGTCGAGAAGTGCTTTTTGTAAGGACTGTAATTATAAATGATGCAAATAATAGAACAGTTTCAAAAACTTTTCATATACTGCACTACTTATAGCACTGTCAATATTTCTTTCTCGAGTTCCTGTTTACTAATTTGTTATAAAACTCACTGTAGACTGAAACCTGCTTTGTACTGTTAGATCTTGGAAAAGAAAAGTTCTGTATTTTTTTTTTCTGAATGTTAAGAAACTGCCTCTAATATTCTAATTTCATGAAGTAAGCTAAAGATACCTTATTATTATTCAGTGCAAGTGGGCTAAAATTTGATTTTTAAAATAAAATGTTGAGGCTATATAAAATAGTCATAGCACATGTATATTAACTTCAAGCCATTACTTTAACAACCTTAAAGCTGCACACAAAATGGTAAACTGTGAAGTATTGGCTAGCTTGTTCAACAAGTACATGCTTTCCACAGTGAGAAGTACATAAAAACAAGTCTTCACTTAATGCAGTAAATGAATTTATAATCTTTAAGATTTAAAAATATGATTGGAAGGGACCTGTAAACTACCTACTCCAACAGCCCTGCAATGAACAGGAACATCTACAGCTCCATCAGGTTACTCAGATCTAGAACAAAATACATGGTAGACACAGTGGCTTTACAAACAGAAATCCAAAAGGTACAATGCTGTCTTTCAGCAACAAATATATTAACAGGCACATTAAAAACCCTCCGTGCATCTGATGTCAGGGACAACCACTTCTCTCACCAATAATGCTGCTTAACAGCTACATAACACACAGAGCTATCAGCTGCACTTTCTGTCCAAGCTGAAGTGTGTTCAGGAATTCCAAGACCTAAAATGATCTTCTTCAACCACTGATCCATCCTTGTTCTGCCTCTTACATACTTTGAAATACTCTTTACATATACTCGGTAAAAGACAAACATTTACTATTTGTGTTTTGGTTTTTATTTAACTGTGACTTAGTTCCTCACTGCTAAAGCAAGAAACTCAATTCTGCAGAGTATTGTGATGACAATCTTTTTAAGCTGTATGAAATGTTTCAATACGCTATCCCGTCAAAAAGCCTTTGGAACAATTTCAAGAAGTAATTCCAACAGAATAATTTCTTAGGTATTTTGCTGCATGAACTGACACAAGAATGCTAAGGTCTTAGTATTTGAATGTTTGATGGTAACATAAGAACAAATAATGAGTAGGTTACTCTACTGTGTTTCACCTGTCTTTCAAAGCTTAGTAACGCATTATTATTCAAAGACATGGTGAACTTTAGATTAAGGGCCACGTCTCCTATGTAATTGTATGGTAGCTAACACAGTGGCCTACAATCAAAGCCATATTGGAAACTAAATATTAAATAGCAATACCAATTCAATACCACCATCTCTCTAGAGTGCTGTATATTGATTGCCTTGTTTTTTTCATAAGATAATTTTAAAAGCAAAATAAAATGTAGATGTAGAATCAAATATGTAATAACATTATATACAGCACAAGCATGACAAAATGCTCTCTGAAGGAAAATGCATACTAATATCTAAAGCCTGCTCTGTTCTGCTTCTTTTTTCATTATACCCGATGTTTCATTTTAACATATGCATTTGAAACTGACTTTGTGTTTTAATGGAATGCTCTGGGCCAAATTGATCCCTCATGTAATGTTGTGTGTGCATGTGAGACAATTACGATTTTTAATGGCATGAGTTTGGGGTGATTGCATTATTCATGTTGGGCATATTGATGAGAAGGTCATACAGGTCACTGCAAGAATTTAAAATTCTTCTGCAGTTCAGAAATGTACTTTTTTACAAACATACGTTTAAAAATGTGTGCTTACTAGTTTTGTTTTTATTGATAAGTACTAAAATTATTTATTTCACTGTCTGTCCGTAAGGTCAAATTTTATTAGCTGCTATTTGCAGTCTCAGAACAACTACAGTAATCCTAAAATTAGAGAATCCCAAAAGAAAATTCTTGTATTGTAACAGATTCTCACTCTCTTAGAAGATTAATGGAGCAGACTTGTAGTACATTTTCTGTATCCTGTGGCTATTCATTTAATGTATTCATTATGCTAGACACCATTTGAACATTTGCAAGAACCTGATTTTCTTTTTTTTCCCCTCCAAACAACAAAGCTCTGAATTTGCTTCATTATGAAAGTATTGCTAGGTTGTGCATAGCTGTCTGTAAGAAATACTTTAAACAGTTTGTTATATTTCTGACATAATTTATAATGATAGCCTGGAGAAGCTTTTTATCTGTTGTAGTGACTCTATGCCCTTTCTTCTCACAGCTCATGCCATAGGATGTGCAGCTAAGAAAAAAATTGCATCACATTCATATCACTCATAAGCAATTTCTACTCTCCTTAAAGCTATGGTTTTCATCCATGAACCAGAGGAACCCAAATAGTTCTTGTAACTTACATCACGGACTAGACCATCCACAGGCAGTTACCAGTATTTTGGATGCAGAAACCTGGTATTGAAACTATGCTAGAGTTTTAGGAACTACAACCTGAAAGGAATAACTGCTTACCTTGAGTGGAGATACGTAGGGAACATCCTCCATTATACATAGTAACATCGTATGGCTTTGCCTAGACTGAGGGCTGATTGAATATATGAGCCATAGCCAACCGGACAGTACAAACAAGGTCTGAACATAATAATAAGCCATGTCTCACATAGCAATGCAAGCAGACTCTGAATGTAATGAGCCTTGATGCAAGCCACAGATTGAGAAGTGACTGGGGAATGACATCTGAAACTGCTGGAAGGGTTTCACTATCTGATTGGCAGCTTGTGCCAGTGTCCATCTATAAGGATACTCGGAAGCAGAAGCCAGGGTTGGGGGAAATATTGTCATGAGGACACCCAACATTATGTAGCAGCAGAGTGCCGAGATGGAACTTACAGGTGATGAACCCAAGTGCCTGACAATGAGCCTGGTCAATGAGTGTGTCACCTGCTTTAACTGCACTACTTTGCTGAGCTGGTAATATGAGTGAGTTTCAGTTGTGTTTGTATGTATTTGTCTGATAAGATTTTTCTGACACACTCAATTCATCACACAGTCTGCTTAAATTGACCTCAGCAACATCACAACGTTTAGTTTTCCTTTTCCCTCAGTGACATCATTCCATTCCTGTTTGAAGTATTTGAGGATGGAACATATAATTCAGTTTTCAGTCACTTCTAGGAAGCAATCATCACCCCTTGCAACAAACACCTCAAGTCACATTAAGGAAGGACACTAGCTTATAGAGATTAAGTACAAATGCTCAAAGAATAGCTGGAGAAATCTGAATTACCTTTGATACCTTTGATGTTTTGGGGCATTTTGCGACATTCAGATACAGCACTTTGAAAAACTTAAGCCAGAAAATGAATTCTGAAAAATCCTAGTGACAGACACAACGTTATGGTTTATATACTTAAAGAAATGGAAATGATGCATTACTGTTAAAGAGCAAGCATTTAGATTCTACTTTGAATCTACTTCTGAGTATTCAAAAATATATAACCAAATCCTCTGCAATCAGAAGAAAAAGCCCTTGCTGATCTTGCTTTTCAAGAAATTATCCTGCGTAAATTATTGAAGAGATGAGTCACTGTTTCCACAATTTCCTGTAAATTCACACACACATTTTATCAGATGGGAGAAGAATATTTTAGAAGCATGAACTCATATATATATATATATATATACATATAATATATATATTATTATATATAATAATTATAATTATTATAAATAATATATATATATATATATACACATAATTAACTTCTGAACTCTAGAAATACCTGATACACATGGGTCAAAAATTCACTTTTGATTGAAGGTGTTGTTTTTTTCCCAGGATAAATATCAACTAGTTTTTTTATTGCCTAACAATGTTTTGGCCATCCATCTTAACTGTGCTTTTTTTTCTTTATGTATGCTTGCAAGCACTAAACAAAGGTATACTAAAATCAGGGTTTTTTTTAAACTGAATTACTCATCACTTCTTTACTTTTCCCTCTTAACATCCCCTGCATGTTCTTAATATTAATCATATAAAAAGCTTAAAGAGCAGCTCTCATAAAAGATACAACTCACAAATTCAGCAATGCCCTTTTATATCTAGACTCTGATTTAAGAGCCAACACAGCTAAGAGCATGATAGTATGCTGCTGTAGCACATTAAAAGGTCAAATTTAAATGAGTTCAAGGTTGGGGTGCCATTCTTTATCTCAAGAAAGAATTAATTTTGAAATTCAGTTAAATACATGATTTTTTTTCCTCAAATTGCGTAAGTCATACAGATTCATTTAAGCTTCAGTTATACTAGTATTAACATCTAACTCCTAACTAGTCATATCAGAATTAATAAATATTTAAGGTTTGCAAAACAAAGTGTACTTACTAGTGTTTGGAGGGCTGCTGTCTTTTACAGTAGATGTTTGATGTAAGTGCAATAGTAGTTCTTAAACTATTTAGTCCAAAGGAGATTTCTGTTCTTAGTAAGCAGTCTAATTTTCACCTTATTCTTATCGCTTACAATGCTTTTAGCAGTTAAGATACTATTAGACAAGAAGATATTGAAGGTAAGACTGGTAATTACTATCGGTTCTTTTGTTAAGGCCAGGTCCAACTCTGAATATTGCATTTAGGAGCCTATAAGGATAGGTGACAGCAAATATAGCTGCTTTAAACCACTTTCAGATCACCCAAGATGTCCCAAGATGTTGCAATCTGATAATGAAGAAGGCATTGCTTACCCCCTTTCCAAGGATCAGGGCTCGCCAAGCACTCCAAAGATGATCTCTAATTACAGGTGCTCCTTCCTGACAGCCCTTAAATGAGGTTAGACAGCAGTGGACCCTGGCTCCACCTTTTCACATTGCGTAGTTGAATTGCTTCCACCTGTAGTCCCAGGGCTATCTACACCCCTTCACCAGGTGTTCAATCACTGGTTCAGCTGTGATGTAACAGTTCCCATACAAAGCCCTTCCCTTTTTCTTAGTTTCTTCATGAGAGATCTGTGATAGATGTAAGGCTAGCAGATTAAGGAGCCAGGTGGATCTTTTTTAGATTTTTCCCCTGTTGCTGAGATTATTCATTTGTGGGGCAATCACAGAATCACTAATTGTAGCAGTTGGATGGGACCTCTGGAATCCATATGGTCCAAACACCCTGCTAAAGTAGGTTCCTTGCACACGTAGGTGTCTAGTCAGGTCTTGATTATCTCCAGAGGAGACTCTATGATCTCTCTGGGCAGTCTATTCCTCAGTCACTATGACAGTAAAGAAGCTCTTCCTTGTGCTAGTGTGAAGCTTCCTGTGTTCCAGTTTCTGCCCATTGCTCCTTGTTCCTCTACAGCATACATCAGAAAAGATTCTGGCTCCATCAACTTGACTCCTGAACTTTAGATTTTCATGAAGTGATGGGATTCACTCTCAGCCTTCTCTTCTCCATACTGAAGAGATTCTTGTCACTTGTGTTGAAGATGCTCCAGGCTCTCAGTCATCTTTGTTGCCTTCTGCTGGATGTTTTCTAGCTCTTTCCAGGAGATCCCTGTCTTTTTTGAACCAGGGAGCCCAGAACTAGACGCAGTATTTCAGAATGCCCTATTCAAATCTTGGACTGGGATCCATTGTGCCCATGGATGTTCTCAGCAAAGACAGCACATCTCTCTAGAACTGATTCTCCATGAAAGAATGAGTTCTGTATACCTAAAGCTACAACTTTAAAAAAAAAAAATATATATATATATAAGAAAATAGAACTAACAACGTATCTTAATTGTCTGCAAATTGCTATCAGTGTGTACACATATTTGTGCATGTGTCTGTATGTATCTATATGCGTATACATGTGAATGCACACCAAGTAAGACAAAATATAAATAATGTGAATAGGGGCTCTAAGCATTTCTTCTACTTGTTTATTCTGAACAGCTGTATCTTGCTTCAGTGGAATCTGTTGGACTTTTGCCATCGATTTCAAAGGAATCAGATTCAGGCCACTAAGACCAGCAGTTTTTATAAACCAATAATATTTTAAAATCTTGGCTTTGAAAGTCAATATGAAGCTCAGAGTTTACTCTCCCCTGTGCAGAAATAACCTGTAGGGGGGAGAATGGGATCTTTAGACAATTAACTATTCAGTAATTCTTAAGCATCTCAATAGTGCTTTTAATCTTCAAAGTGCTTTATAAACATTAACTAAGTAATCCTTTCAGTCCTCTGAAGTAAGTAATTGGGTATTTACTATACTGGTGAAGAACTTCTATAAAATACAAGGAAATGCTGAAAATAGCACTTTTCATTGACAGTTTTTTTCTTATGTAGGAAAAGGAAAAAAAGTAAAAAAAAAAACAAAAACAACAAAAACCTCAGGCTCTAAGTCTACAGTCCCTTGGTACTTACTCCATTTCAACAACTTCTGCTTGAAATCAAAAATATAACCTGTATGACTTCACCCATCGCTAGAGATAGAAAATACCTGCAAAAAAGCAGCTGCCTCTGAACTTCTTTTTTCCCAAATAATTGTATTTTCTAAATGAATTTTCCTGGCACATGCTTCAAATAGATTGCTGCTATATAATCACTTAGGTTAGAAAAGACCTTCAGTATCATCCTAATTTCTGGAAAGATTTTTGACTGAAAACTGTCATTGTAGATGAAATTTCATATAGAAAAGTGAATTGTGGTACAGCTGGAAAAAAAAAAATAATAAGGTAAGATCAGCTAAAAGCAGAATATTACCACTGAGGAGTAAGATTCTGTGGCTGTGACGCACAGCTCCATGAAAACATCACGTTGATACTTAGCAGCATTAAAAAATAAATAAGAACTATTAGGAAGGGTTCACTGGGACTTCCTTTTCAGCCTATGTTTCAGTTGATAATCTGGCCATTCCCACATATCCAAAATTACATTCATAAGAGAAATAGAGAATAAATGTCTCATTTACAATTTCAGGTTTTAGTGTTATTTCTTAGTATTTTCCACGATGTTTTTTCAAGCAGTGTTTCTCTAACAATTGACAAGTTACTACCTACACTCAAGCCCCCTAGATTTGTGTTTCTATTAAAAAGACAGAGAGAACGTAAGCCTATCTAACATCATCCAGCATGTATCTTTGCATTGAAGAACATGAACATCACATTAACTTAAACTGCTATAAAATACTGAAGGCAAAATACCAAAATACTAGCTAATAGAGTTAGGATTGGTATTACTGGCCACGTTAGTATTGGTATTCCATTTATGCAGAAATGAAATACAAAAATAGGTTTTATATAATTAATTTGTATCATATTTTAATAAAATTCCCTCATATTATATTAATATGGTAAACCTGAATGTTATCTTAGCACACATATGCATGATAGGAGAAATGCAAATACAACCTTCTCCCACTAGAATATTTTAGTCTTGCAAAATTATACCTTTCCACATTTTTACTGAAATTGCATACATACATGTAAAATAAAACTAAAAAACAGTAGTAAAAACTCTTTTGAAGTTGAGTTTGTATTTTTAATAGATATTTTCACAAGAAGAAAAATTGTGTATAATTATTTACACTGTAGGAATGAGAGCTGAGGCTTAGTACTAATAAATTGCATTATAATGACTAGAAAGAATTTGTTCAACAATTGCACAATTGATTCACCATGAAACTGAGATATAGAAGACGTATAGGGGGACCTTCCATGAGCAGTGTCATAAAATATTCACAGAGTACCTCTACGTTACAATTGTAACTAGAATACTGCTTCTTGGAGATGTCATTACAAAAGTACAATATTCAAAATGAACATCTGGTAATCAAATGCATGTCAGTGTAGTACTTACATGTAAAACATGATTTATTCCCAAGGAAAGATATTAATTCTAAACACAGGGCTTCCGGACTTTCTGGAAGACTAAAATATGACAGCAATGTGGAGAAAGTAGAGCTGTGTGTACCAGGAGAAAAAACAGAGCTGAAAAATTGTTATAGTGAGCCTCCAAGTAATATAACGAATTAATCAGGGATTAAGCTATAAGGTAGAGAAGAGAATAAGGATAGCACGAGGGAGGCTGTGCAGACCTCCAGGGCAAGAAGAAACATGAGAATAAAATGTTGTTTAAAGATGAGGTGAGAGAAAGAAGGTATATAAAAAAAAAACCCGCAATACTATTGGTATTATATAACAATTGGTAACCCTCTAATTACAAAAACAAACAAACAAACAAACAACTCAGAGACAAAATGGAAGAGAAATATGGGAATAAAGATATAGCAAATGAGTACATCTGTCTTAATTAGAGACAAAAAGACAAAAGACCAACCTGAATACAAAAACTCTGTTGTCAAACACTTTTTTAGCATTAGCTAGTGACAAGGATGGCATTAAAACTTGAAAAAATATATATTGAAAATTTGGGATAATTTTGCAAAACAGTTTTAGGAGAGGAGGCGGTGACAGGCTTTCTTCATCTCAGTACAGAGGGAAGCCAATTCCACATGAATTTACACAGGCCAGCTGGAGAAAAAAAAAAAGAAAAAAAAAATGCTAAGGAATTGACACGAAAGACAAATTCTTTGTCTCTGTAATATGTGCAGCTCCATTAACTTTTTCATACAGTTCAAGGCAGTAAGGATCCATTAGATCATCTATTCTGACCCTGTATATCATAGGTCATTAAATTTCATTTTCGATTGTGCTCGGCTCAGTAGTTTATTGTTAACGTATTACAGAAAAACATCTAGTCTTGATTTGAAGGCAGAGAGATGGAGAATCAAGCAGCGCCCTTGGCTTTTTGCTCTGAAGGTTAAATACCTTTGCTGCTGTGAAATTGTGCCTTATTTCTCATTTGAATTTGTTTGGCTTCAGCTTCCAGCCAGGAGTTCTTATTACAAGACTTTTTTTTTTTTTTTTTTTCAGCTAGCTGAAGTTTTTATTGTTATTTTTTTCATAGATCATAAGCAAGTCACCTTTCTTTGTGAAACCATATAGAAGATTTCTATAAAGCTTTTTCTCCTGCTTTAATAACATTTCATTTTCTTTCCGATTATTACTCAAAACCAGTAAAATTGTATTGGTTGTTACCTCTTTATAAACATTCCTACACCCTCTGTATATTCTGTGCAATAATCATTTTGACAGCATTATACTGAAGTCTGGCTTAAACTGGGCATCTACTGAGAATTTTGAGGGATCAAACTTCAGTTTTCAGTGGTCTATATTTCCTATATACTTTATATACAAAGATATTTCCCTTCAGAGGTCAAACAACATTGTAGATTAGTTACCTTCCATTTTTCTCATTGAGAGGAGAGGCTGACAGAGCTTCTTACTTGGAAACTATGGTACTAATAGGACACTGTAGGACCAAAGATACAAATGTAATTCAGCTGGAATTTTGGAATATCTGGAATTTTATTTTTCCTGATGACTTTCACAGTCAGTAGGGTGACAACAAATTCTAGTTTCTCCTCCTAATCAGTCTGATCTCCATCATTTCCTCTGACACAGAATTGCCTATAAATTCCTGAAAGCAGGATGACTGTAGTATCTGATGAAGAATTTAACAAAAAATATGAACTTTTTTTAGCCTCCTCCATCTCTTCTATCAGTTACTCTTTCCTTTTCACTTGTATTAGTAATTAAAGTTTCAGGTAGAAGATTAAAAAATACAACACAATCCTTTATTTACCTTTCTATGCATGTTTATTTCTTACTTTCAAACCCTTGTCAAGAACATAGCACTCACAATTCAGCCAAAGTGCTAATTTTGCTTCAGGTTTTCATATAAAAAATTACAGTTAATCT